CCACCTTCTTCCTGCTCCTGTGCTGGTCTGTGCTGTGCCGAGTTGTTTCAGTGCTGAAGAACTAGGTGAAGAAGAACGGGTGGGTGGTTTTCTTCTAGGCCAGCAGAGTGACATGGCTTGGCAGAGCTTCTGATAGTGTTGGGACTATGCAGGGTGGGCTTGGGGGGCCATGGGCTTCGTCCTGGGAGATGCTATTGCAGCCATGCGTCATGGATGTTTGCGCAGGGTCAGTGAGAACGTGGAACCCCTGGAGAAAAGGGCCTTGCCTCAGTGGGCAACACAGCCATGAAGAACTCTGGGATAACCGTGGGTTTAGAGAGAAATAGATGCTGTGGCTAAGCTGCAGGAACAGATTGTACGGTGAAGTAGGGAGCGTAATTAAACCATGAAAAGGCCGTTTTAGCTGAGTGGGTATGAACTAGAGCGTATGTAAAGAGTATACAGAACTTTGTGTCCAAAGAAGAGCAACGAAGCTGGTGAAGGGTCTAGAGAACAAGTCCTGTGAGGAGCAGCTGAGGGAGCTGGTGTTGTTTAGCCTGGAGACAAGGAGGGTCAGGAGAGACCTTACCACTCTCCAGCTAGCTGAAAGGAGGGTGCAGTGATGTGGGTGTTGATCTCTTCACAAGTAACAAATGATAGGATGAGAGCAAATGGCCTCAAGGTGCGCCAGGGGAGGTTTAGGTTTGAGATTAGGAAAAATTTCTTCATCAGAATGGTTGTCGAGCACTGGAGCAGGCTGCCCAGGGAAGCAGCCGAGTCACCATCTGTGGAGGTGTGTGAAAGGCGTGTAGACGTGGCGCCTGGGGCCATGGTTTAGTGCTGGACTTGGCAGTGTTAGATTTAGCGATTGGGCTTGATGATGTTAAAGGTCTTTTCCAGCCTAAATGATTCTATGATTCTATATCTTAGAAGCGAGAGATGGTACTTTTGGGAGAAAACCTTCTGCAAGCAAGTTAGTACCTTACTGATTTGCCTTACTCTCCTTACAAGGTACTGTATGGTACCAAAGGTGAGTGTGTTTTTTGACTCGTTTTTCCTACTTAGCTCCTATTTCTGCTGTTTTTCTTGGCTTACAAGCAAAAGTTTAGTAGCAAAATTGTGTTCCTTTAAGATAGAATGCATTTCTTTGTATTGGGAAGAGACACTTAGGCAGTAGAAGGAGACGAAACTGCCCATTTCTACTGTCTCTTTCGTTTAACCATTTGTTTCAGCTTTTGGTACTAATTAATAGGCTTTTCCATGTTTCATTGGGCTAACTGTAACAAGAAAAAAATTGTCTAAATGCAGCTAGATATCAAATGCTTATATGTAAAACTCCTAGGATGATCTTCATACATGAGGATTCTTTTCCTAATACCGTACCTGCTAACACATACTGACTGCTTACAGGTGGAATCTGCAGATGTGAGAGCACAGCGGGGAAGCTGCTGGAAGCCTCTAGGAAGAGGTTGTGAGGAGTGTATGTAGCTCAGACTTGGACTTCAGAGTAAAACAGAAGTCCACCTGGGGTCAACGTGCCTAAAATTTTCTGGAATTGCATGCAGACTGGTTCACAAATGGGTAATTCCTTAAATGCAAGCTCAGCGTATTCAGTCATGGGGTCTATGCACTCCAGCCCAAAGATACACGTCAGCTGCTCTTTCACTTTAACATCTGTGGCCAGATGTGGCTGCAGGTTTCGAGTTTTCACCCATCTCCTGCAACTTGGGAAACAGCGGGTTGTGCGCAGGCAATCAGTCAGTGTAGCACCCTGCTGTCAGCACAGGGTACAGCGCTCGCGTTAGAGGAGGAGATGATTTTTGCTGCAGTAGCCACAGTTGCTGATGTTCCCGTCTACTGCCTTTAAGGGATAGAAGCTCTTACAATAATAGACTGAAATGGAAACACAGTGGAGCGATTCAGAAAGGCTTTTTTGCCTTGGCAGTATTTACCAGAATACAAGTTGAGGACTTTGTGTATTTTGTAGATTTTTTTTCTGCAGCAGTTGACCTGCAGCAACCCAAGGTTTCCTTCAGCATACGACGTCTGCTCCAGACTTAGTTCTGCTGTGATCTTGCTGTCACGCATTGCTTGCTCTCAGTGTCTGGTGCCTGTCACCTGCAGGTGATCGTCTCCCAGTGCCACTGGTGAAGGAAGCAAATAGTGCCAAATACATACATGCATATTTGCAGAAAGGTTTTACTAATGCGAGAGTTTGTGCTGTGTAAGTTTTATTATCGTTGTTGTGCCACAGGAGCAATGGTTCACCAGCATTTTCCTTCTCTTTTTCAGCTTTTTAAATTGCTTTTCCTCGGTGAGAATGGCAAGGATTCGGATTCCTAGCACAATCGTTATACTTTTTGTTACGGTTCAGACTGGATTCTTACTCTTCATGTATGCCCGCTACAGTAGCTTCATGCCTCAGTCTGAGGAGAAACCATCGCAAGTCCACATCCTCATTCTCTCCTCCTGGCGATCAGGATCTTCTTTTGTCGGTCAGCTGTTCAGCCAGCACCCCAATGTCTTCTACCTGATGGAGCCCGCGTGGCACGTGTGGGTTAAGATGTACCAGAACAGTGCCCAGGTCTTGCACATGGCAGTGCGGGACCTGGTCAGGTCGGTCTTTCTGTGTGACATGTCTGTGTTTGATGCTTACATGCCTTGGAAGAGAAACTTGTCTGATCTTTTCCAGTGGGCAGTGAGTCGGGCTCTGTGTTCAGCTCCCGCTTGTGACTCCTTTCAGCGTACTGACATCACCAGTGAGATGGCGTGCAAGACTCTTTGCGGACGATACCCATTCAGCAAGGTGGAGGAAGCCTGTAAGACGTATAGCCATGTTGTCATCAAGGAGGTTCGGTTCTTTGACTTGAAGGTCCTCTACCCCCTTCTCAATGATCCATCCCTGAATCTCAAAATTATTCACTTGGTGCGTGACCCCAGGGCAGTCGTCAAGTCACGGGAACAGTCGGTCAAAGCGTTAGCCCGTGACAATGGAATTGTTCTGAGTACCAATGGCACGAAAGTGGAAGACAGCAAGTACAAAGTCATGCAGGAGATTTGCAGAAGTCATGTTCAGATTTATGAAACGGCTACTCTAAAACCACCTAATTTCCTTAAAGACCGCTATTTAATGATCCGTTTTGAAGATCTGGTCAGAGATCCATTGTCAGAAATCTCAGAAATGTATAAGTTTGCAGATCTTACTTTGACCCCCACGCTCAAAAACTGGATCTATAATATCACACATGGACAGGGACCAGGAAAGAAAAAAGAAGCCTTCAAAATCACATCTCGAGATGCAGTTAATGTTTCACAGGCCTGGAGAAATGTTCTTTCCTTCCAGAAAATTAAGAAAATACAGGAGGTTTGCAAAGGTGCTATAAACATGCTTGGCTATCAGCTGGTGGATTCAGAAAAAGAACAAAGAGATCTGTCGTTTGATTTAGTGTTGCCAAGACGACAAAATCAATTCAGTTGGTCGTCGTTTAATCCAAAGCACTGAGACATCAGTTCTGGGAGGTCGGGATGTGGTGGGGGGGTGTGGTGTAGGTGGCTGAGTATTTGCCCACTGTGCAGCATATAGGTGATTTGAAAATCCTTGGCTGATGAGTTTAGCTGTCTTCCTGTCTGCTGTTTTTCCGTAATGGAAGGAGGTTCTTTTCTGAGTTTGTTACACAGCAAAAACAAAAACCAGCATGAGAAATTCCGCGAGGTACTGGTCAGATTGCAAATTTACAGCTGAGCTGTGCTGTTCTCAGCAGTGTTTTAAAGATATAATTTAAGTACTTTGTATTAAAAGATGAATTGTCAAAGACGTCTTTGTTCATTGATAATAGTTCACTTCTCTTTCCTTGCTTTAAATATTTAAGAATCTCAGTTCTTAATTTGTGTAAATGGAAGAAAATAGAAACGAAATTCCTTCACTTTATTCGAGAATCGCTTGACTTTCTTATTTTGCTTTAAAGTTGTTGTGCAGATGTGTATTTTTTTTTTTAGACTTCTCTTGATGTTTTCAGTTTTAACATAAAAGTTCTCCAAGAGCTGGAGCAACTGCAGCAGTTCTGTTGTAAAAGGCTTAAGCAGGAACTTTGTTTATTGACAGATTTGTTAGTGCTTTCCCTGGAGTGGCGAAGTTTGCAGTCAGCTGCCTGAAGGTGATGTTGGCATGGAGTGCAAAAAGCAAAGAGGTGAAGAAACTGAGCAGAATTGCTGTGGAAATGGCTTGTTAATGCTGCCTCAGTCGTGCGTTCTAACGCTGCGAGGCAGAGGGGGCACACGCTTGCTCCTGCAGCGCGATTCACACCATCATCCTCTCTCTTCGGAACCGCAAGTTTTGGTGGTGAAGATCACTGAGAAGTTTGAGGTGCCGTGGAGACCCGCGTGTTGGTTGTGCTGCTGCGTGGACGTGATCAGAGACAGAAACTTGTGTACGGGGTTTTTCTTTGGTTTTGTTGTTCTCAGTACAGCACATCTCAGGATGGACAGTACCTGTTTGATCGATACCGGACAATCCTGTTGGGGCTAACTGAAGAATGTTGTTCTGCAGCGCGTTTAGGATGAGCTCAAAGGCTCCTTCGTGCCACTGCTGTGATCTGCTGTGGGAGATGGGTGTTTCTGTCGCTCCGGGTGCTGGGCGGTGGGCCCCTCGGTGCTCTGTCTCCCGGGGGGCTTCTCTGGGGCCGCACCCGTTGCTTCTGGGGATTTTCCTGCATTCGCAGAGCTATCGTGGGGCCTGCGGAGCTGTGTTTTGGTTTTTTAGTGCTCAGTGGTCATCACTTAATCAAAGTCATTCTCAAATTAAATTTCTGAACATAGAGCCGTGGGGTGCTGGGCTTTGCTGTGCCTCCCCAGAAGGCTCTGGCTGACGAAGCTGTCCTGCAGCAGGGCCTGCAGCCGTCAGCACCACGGGACGCTGATGATGATGATGAGCACAGGCCTCGTGCTGGGCTGTTGTTTTCCCTGCTGCTTGCAGTGGATCTGTAGTGGCCTTACAGATCCTAAATGTCCCTAAAGTCTGCCCCAGACCCTCCAGATGCTGCCCCAAAGCTGCCAGCAGCCCCCAAACTCTCCCAAACCCTTCCTCAAAGCTCCTCCTGCCCCCCCCCTCGCTCCTCAAAGACCCCCTAAATCCATCTTTTCATTCCTCTATCTCCCCATCCCTCTTCTCTTCTTCTTCCCATCCCCTTCCTGGATCCCTGTTCCCCTGTCGAGCTGGAGGTCTGGCATTCCGTTGTGTTTTGTCAGGCCCCCGCGGTGCTGAGGGCTGGTGGTGCTGAGTGGAGCTGATGGGCAGCGCGCGGAAGGTGCTGTTGATCTGCCTCATTCGGACCGAGTCCATCACCTCTCCAGAGATTCCTGTTGCCGGGGCACGGGGCTGGGGCTGTGCGCTGCGGGGGCACCCAGTTACCGGCTGTTGCTGCCTCTTGCTCGCCTGTGCCCGGGTGGGGCTGTCACGGGGCACAGCTTGACACGAACGTGGTGTGACACAAACATGGTGCTGGCATGGAGCCTGACCTCCTGTTGGATCCATCGTTGTGTAAACAGGTATCTTCCTCGTGTCAGCCTCGTGCTACTCCTCTTCCCTCTCTCTGCGGTACCCGCGAGGTGCTTCTCTTTTCCGTGTTGAACGAGAAAGTGGACAGGAGAGAGGGCTGCCTGTTCCCCCTGCCTGTGTTACGTGTTTCCTCATGCCAAGCAAAGCAAACTTGGCTCCGCCTTCAGGCACTCTGCTGGGTCGCAGGGCTTTGTGGCAGCGGCTGCTTGACTTGAGCAGCTGATGGGAGTGGAGCGAAGCCTCGCTGCTCTCGTTGTCCCGGCTACCATCTGTCTCCTATGAGCTTAGTCTCTCTAGGGCTTGGAGTTGTGGAGGCTTCTTTCTGAATGGTCTGGAGGAGACCAGAAAATCTGGGCACAACGGGTGTTGCGTGCCTGGTGTTTCTGTGGGAGAAGGGCTAGGGCAGGGCTGCGGACGAGGCATGGGGGGGTGGGAGGCAGCAGGCTGGGGTAGGGGCTGGATCCCTTGTGCTCTGCGGGGCTCTTGGGCATGGCAGACAGCACTTGCTTGGGAGGCAGAGAGCTCTCGGCTTTCCTTCTCTTGCCCATGTTGAGTGAGAAAATGGACAGGTGAGAGGGCCGCCTGCTCCCCTTTCGGTGTTACATGTCTTCGTGCCGAGGAAGGCAAACAAACACTCCTTAGGTTGCAGAGTCTGTCTGCGCTGCAGTTCCCCCGAGGAGGACCATCTGCCAAGGGCTGAAGGCAGCCAGGTGCCGGAGCAGTTAGCTGGCTTGGAGTAGAAATGGGGATCTGTGGACGCTCGGGGCCATTGGTGGCATTTCCCGTTATCCTGGTGGCAGCCAGGGCTGCATGAGGTCCCCAGACTGCTGCTGACTTTGCCTGCAGCACCCTGAGATGTCCCTGGAGTGTATGAGGCAGGGGGCTGGGAGAGGGGCCATCTGCTTTTAGCTGCCTGTGCCCCCAGAGTCAGCAGTCTGCCGTCATCCTCTGGTGGTGTCCTTCTTTTCATCGCGCCCCATAGCTCTCAATTTGTTCTTTTCCCCTTAAAACTCATCTTCTTTTCCTTTTTGTGCACCCCACAGTGTCTCCCTTTTTCTTCAGCAAGCCGCTCTTGAGAGCAGGGCCACACCGGGGTGCCCTGGGCGCCCCAGCAGTCGCTGGTGGGTCTGATGGTGATGGTTCCTGCCTGAGCAGCCATGGGTTGGGAGGCCGGGGACGGAACTGGCAACGGCCCCTCCACATCCGACGCGCTGCGGTTGGGCAGGGGCTGCGCAGCGCGGGGGGCTGCGCCGGGGTCTGTCTGGGACAAGGGGGCCACGCCAAGCGTCGCCTGCTGGGACCAGGGCTGTGGCCGCAGTGAAGGTGAGCAGGACTGGGGATTTTGGATTTGTGCTGGGATGATTTGATTGTTTACTTTCAGTTCCAGAGAAACCTGGGTTGTGCTATAGTAGGGTAATCTAAATACAGGTAAGAGTTAGCCCTCTGCAGTTTCTGGGCTTTCTTTTTTTTTTAAAGTTCTAGAAAGCCTGCCTGTGATTAAAAGCGATTTTTAGTCTATACCATAATTCTTCCCACCTTTTGGGATGAACAGTTTCTACTTCTGCTTAATCCTTTCACTCAAGAAATTCTGACATACTTTGTGCATCTTGAATGACGTCTTGCCCAGTCAGAGTTAAATTATTGTCATCAATCTTATGTCCCTGTTAAAATTAAAACCTACATGAAGAGATTCATTTTAAAATGTAAAAAGTCTTCAATGAACCTTTTAAATTTGATAGCCCAAATATATTTTTATTAGGAGTAAATTGAAACACTTTCCTGACTAAAATTTAACCAATGTTACTTACTATATAGAGCTTAGTGAAGCTGCCGAAGCACTGCTGCATTACTGTTGGCACACACCTTCACAGAGAAGGTCACTGGTCCCTATTTTCAGTGTTTTCTCCCATTCTAGGCATGTAAGTAGGTTTCTGCTCAGTCTCTCACAAAGGTAAAAAAGGCTCATATACCAAAACTTTGTCCTCTTTTTTCCCCAGCTACAGCCACTCGGTCTAATAAAATTAAAATCTCATTTTCCACAGAATATGTCCATTCTGTGACCATGAAAGCACTATGTAATCTTAAGGGTGGTTTACTCGTGAATAACAGATGGATAATGTTTAGGTCACAAGGTGACCGTAAAAGCTTAGCTATTGTAAAGAGCTTTACATGCTGAGTGCCCCAAGGTGTTCAGTTTCTGGGAGAAACGGAATGACACCTTCCTTCAGAAATAAAGTTTACCTTATTTAGAGGTTTTTTTTAGTTGTTGGGTTAAAGAACGTGATCTATTTTTAACATGGTGAAGCAAAATATAAAAGCAAGCCGTTTTTACTCTTGGATGTTTCCTGAAACCCTGGTCATCCAATAAAAAAAGCACAAATACTTAATTTTTCTGTGGTTTTAAAGCTATAACTACATTCTACAATTTAATGCACTTCATTTATTTTGATATTGCAAACTGCAAGAAGAAATATCAAATATACGAAATATATGGGGCTCTGAGCAACCTGGTCTGGTTGAAGCTGTCCCTGCTCGCTGCAGAGGGTTGGGCTAGACGGCCTCCAAAGGTCCCTTCAGCTCCGAGCATTCTGTGATTCTATGGTAAATAGTGAATTTTACTGTATACTTATCGAATAATGCAATCAGTACGATAAGGGTACAGCATTCAGTTAGGTTAAGCCTTGCTGTACTGTCTTCTCCCTGTAACTGAAAATACAGTGCAGCAGGAAAACACAGCAAAAGTAGTAACAATAAAACTGATTGTTCTCCACCAAAAGACTTTAAATCATCAACCTAAGTTATTTTTCAGAAGGGGCAGCATGAAGAGCTTCACTGATGACTCTTTCTTGTGTAGCAAAGTTCTCCTAGTAATAATGTTCTGGGGTACGAGGGACCATATTCATTTGTGTTCCTTGACTTGTTAATATATTGGTTGTAAAATACTTAGT